TGTGTGCTTGAGAGACAGTGTGTGTATGAGAGAGGTTCTGTGTGAGAGTATGTTTGTGTGTGTGTGTGTGTGTGTGTGAGAGAGAGAGAGAGAGAGTGTATACTGGGGTGGGGTTACCTGTAGTGCGACATGAACCAAAGATGCCAGTTGAGGCCGTCCTCATGGGGACCGAACTTGGCTATCAGCCTCTGCTGGGGGACTCTGCGTTGTTGTGTATCCCGCAGTCTGTCTTGGAGGGCGTTTACCTGACGATCCGAGTCCAAATGCACTTGACCACTGAAGCGTTCCCACATTGGGAGGGAACATCCCTGCCTGGCGATTGTTGTGTGGTGTTCATTCATCTGTTTTCGTAGCATCTGCATGGTCTCACCATTGTACCATGCCTCGGGCCATCCTTGCCTGCAGCATATGAGATAGACAACGTTGGCCAAGTCACATGAGTATCTGCCGTGTAAGTGGTGGGAGGTGTTCCCACATGTGGTGGTAGTGTCCATGTTGAAGATCTGACATGTCTTGCAGAGGTTGCCATGGCAGGGTTGTGTGGTGTTGTAGTTGATGCTGTCCTGAAGGCTGGGCAGTTTGCTGCGAACAATGGTCTGTTTATGGTTTGACAGTTGTTTGAAGGCGAGAAGTGGAGATGTGGCGAAGATCTTAGCGAGGTGCTCATCATCATCGATAATGTGATGAAGGCTGCAAAGAACATGGCATAGTTTCTCTGCTCCTGGGAAGTACTGGACAACAAAGGGCACCGTATCAGCCATATCCTGCGTGTGTCTTTTCAGGAGGTCATTATGGTTTTTTGCTGTGGCCTGTTGGAACTGACAATCGATGAGTTGAGCATCGTATCCTGTTCCTATGAGGGCGTCCTTCAACACCTACAGGTGTCTGTCTCGAAGGCAGGCTTAGTATAGAAGGGAAAAATGTGTCGGTGCAGGCTTGGAGGGCTAAAGGGCCTGCTCCTGTGCTGTATTGTTCTTTGTTCTTTGTTCTTTGTTACTGGTGTATTAAACAAATAGTGATTTGTGATGAAGAAGGAGTACACCATTATGTTTTTGTTTGGAGTTAGACTACTTTTATTTCTAAAGTAGGAATTTATAAAATGCCACACTGACTGACTGTCTATAAATTGTGCATTTTTGAACAAAATAGAACGTATCTGCAAATACAAATTCACCCCATTGCTTCCTCTGTGTGTGTGTTGGGGGGTATGGGGGAGCGGGATTCACCATAAACTATTGGATAAGGTGTCACTCTACCATTAAAAATATGCAAAAGAAAATCCATTTGATTATGATCCTCCCCAGTGTGTTGAAATGAAATTGCTGAATTAGTGCACTTATTTTGAATAATTAATCACTAATATCAGTTAGAACTGGCCATTCATGTTTTAAAAATTTCATTAAGGAAATGATTTGCCATCCCAATGAGCTTGTTAACCCAAGAGGTGCAGAAAAGGAACAATGAAGCTGTACAGCATCACTCCCTCAGACAATAAATTGTTTCCAGAACATTCTACCTTTCACTATTTCCTTCCTGCTTCTCTTAATTGATTCAGTCCCTTTATTTATCCTTGTTTACCTAATTTAGTTCAAATTATTCTATTTCCTTTTCCTAGATTTACTCTGTTGCTATTTCCGAATTCCTTGACTTGCTTTGGTTCATACCCAACGCTCATGAAGTGCCAGTTGCCATGTCAATTCCCATTACATTATGGGCAGCTCAGTGGTTAGCACTGCTGCCTCATTGCACCAGGACCCGAGTTCAATTCCACCCACAGGCAACCGTCTGTGTGGAGTTTGTACGTTCTCCCCATGTCTGCATGGACTTCCTCCCACAGCCCAAAGATATGCAGGTTGGGTGGATTAGCCATGCTAAATGTGGGGTTACAGGGATAAAATGAGGGGCTGGGTCTGGGTGGGAAGCACTTTGGAGGAAAATTAGGAAAGACTCAAGGTGCCAAAGATCTCTTTCCGTTCTGTCGGGATTCTATATAACAATTTGCAACTCACAAAACAATCACAGTTATAAGATGAAGCCCAATTCACATCGTTCACCACGTGACGCACCAGACTTGAGATTTCCAGGGCTAATTGGACAAAAGAAATCTACCGCAGTGCAGATTTGGCGTCAATGGAGTTAAATATGCTGTAGCTGCTCACAGAGTGAGTAGAGAAGGTGGAGGGCATCTCCGGAATACCAGTAAATCGTCCTATATACAAATGTCAGATGAAGGACAGGAGAATAAGGATCTTGAGCAAATTTCTTTCTTCCACTGCGTTAATTTTATTATAACCTTTTATCCCAGTACTGGAAGCTCCTTGGAACTATTCCTATTAGAAATGATGCTGGAAGTGCATCAAAATTCCCACTTTCACTGGTAAATAATTATAATATGTTACCCTGTCAGTAAAGTTGCATTCGCAGAGAAACTCCTATGCTCCAATCAACTCTTCTTCATGACTTGCAAAAGTACTAAAAGTTTTGCTATTTATCTATCAATCATATGAAATAAGGATAATAAATTAATGGGAACTGGTGGTACACATTTATACATCACACAAAAAATTCTTGCATCAAAATATCCTGGTTCAATTATAACTAAGCCTGAATGCTTCTAAAAATTTCTAAAACTGAATGTTCTCTTGCCACACCATGATCAAAGTCATAAGCAAGGTATACTCTATAAACGATTCCTAGGAACATAAGAAATAGGGGCAGGAGTAGGTGATCTGGCCCAGTGGACCTGTTCTGCCATTCAATAAGATCATGGCAGACGTATCTCTTGAGAAGGGGTGATCTCAGAGCCTTTAGTCAAGAGAGGTTACTCTTAAAATCTAGGTTGCATGTTCTGACACCACTATGGTCAGTCACAATGGTTAAATCCCCATCACTTGCACTGAGAAATTGCACTGGTGTAAGTGCCTAGGATTGATTCTGTACATAATTTGTCAGCCATTATCTTCTACTCACTCCATGTGGCCGAAGGAAAAAAGCAAAGGGAGACCTTTCTCTAGATTCAGCCTTGAGTCCTTTTGCTGTAGTTCGTAGATAATTTAAAAAAAATAAATTCTGTATATTGCTACACTGTTTAATTCAACAATTTTCTGAGTAAGTAGAGTTTTGTTGCTTTAAGATGTTTACTCCATAAATCCCCAGTGTTCTGACTAAAGCAATAATGTGAATATTAACAAATCTAGGAATTAGGAGCAAGAATAGGCCATTCAGTCCCTTTAGCATGAGGATTCAGTAAGATCATGAATGTTGATCTGAATGTGGCCTCTCAACTCTACATTCTTACCTGCCCCTGATTCCATTAACTCCCTTGTTCATCAAAAATTTATTTACCTCTGCCTTTCAAATATTCAATGATCCCCGCTTCCACCACTCTCTTGGGGTAAGAGTCCCAAAGACTCATGATGGTACAAGAGACAATGTTCCTCCTCATCTCTGCCTTAAATGAAAGGTCCTTTTCTTTAAACTGTGTCCCCTAATTCTAGTCTATCCCACAAGAGGGATCATCCTCTTAACATCTATTCTGTGAAGTCCTATCAATAAGATCACCCTCATTCTTCTAAACTCCAATGGATACAGGCCCAGCCTGTCTAACCTCTCCTTGTAAGATAACCCACCACATTCATGTTGTCAACTGTCCTTTGAATCTGAGTTGGCATCTATTTAGAGTAACAAATTTCTGCCAAGGGTCTTTATGTGTCTGGATGAGCTGATTCTCGATCCACAGATCTTTAGACACATGGGACAGGACATCCCAAAAGGTAATGTGATCCAGAGTGCAGGATTTATTTATTTATCTTCCCCTCAGTGCTTTATTCTTCCTCATCATTAAGAAGCTATGGTTCAAAGCATGATACAATTTGGTGGCCAGGTTGTTGCCATTTTGAATGACTGGGAACAATCTCCTCTCAGTCATTAATGTCAATGTTACTGTTATTCAAGAAGAGCTTCAGAGTGTATTTGTAGCATTTATTTTGTTCTCTTCTGGAATATTAGTCATTTGAAGAGTTGAGAGAATCAGAGAAAATGTTTGCCATCCATTTGGATGCAGTGTTCAGTCCATCAAAGTTAATTTTCCAAGAGCTTTGCCTGAATGTTTGTGGAGCTAGTTTCAAGAAGGTTTAAGCATTTATTCAATGTACTCCCCATTGAATCTGGAGGATGCAGTGGATAGAATTGTAGATGGAATTTCTTTATAGCTCTTATGTATCACTGCTACATTGTCCACACGTCTCTACACAAAGACTTTTGTTGTTTTGTAGACTGTGCATACATACCAAGGTCAAATGATTTGAATATACTCTCTGTAAAGTCATATATCTTGCAGACAACACACCTTGTATCATGTAAATCTCAATGTAAATATGCCAAGAGGTTTCTTATTTCTTTACTCTTGAATTTGTTTATTAATCTGCTAAGTCCTGTTATGTACTAAATGTAAGAGAACATTAATTTTAAACTAGAGACACGGCTTGGAAAGACTATTTGATGAATATTGTGAAGCTATTTGCTATACTACAGCCTCCCTCCAGAGGTTAGTCTCAAATAACCTCTAAAACACCATTGAGAATGTCATATATAATGCTGAAAATTGCATTAATTTGTAATCATTGTGTTTATTTTTCTCATGCCATAGGAGAGAGCACCATGGCTATAAATATTGCTGGAGCAATGTCAATGGCTAGCTTTTATCTTCTTATCCTCACAGTCGGCATCTGGGCAGCAAAAAGAGCCAAAAAAGTTGAAAGAGCGTATGAGAGTGATCGTTCTGAAATGGTAATGATAGCTGGACGAAAAATTGGATTCATTCTTGGCATTCTAACAACCATGGGTACAGTAACTATTTTTTTTAAATTATCAAGAGAAACAGTTGCAGTGTTTGTCAAATTTGCAGAAGGTCAGCCTACAGTTTTGAGTGAATGACAAGGAACCTGACTGGTCTGAAACACCAATTTAGCATTTTTGGGCAATTTAGCATGGCTAATCCACCTGGCCTGCGGGAGGAAACCCACGCAGACATGGAGAGAATGTGCAAACTCCACACAGACAGTTGCCTGAGTGTGGAATTGAACCCAGGTCCCTGGTGCTGTGAGGCAGTGATGCTAACCACTGAGCCACTGCACCACCCCCTATCTTTGAAAGATACAGATGGCTGAACCACCTCTTGTGGGAGAGACTAGAATTAGGGGACACAGTTTAAAGAAAAGGACCTTTCATTTAAGGCAGAGATGAGGAGGAACATTGTCTCTTGTACCATCATGAGTCTTTGGGACTCTTGCCCCAAGAGAGTGGTGGAAGTGGGGATCATTGAATATTTGAAAGGCAGAGGTAAATAAATTTTTGATGAACAAGGGAGTTAATGGAATCAGGGGCAGGTAAGAATGTAGAGTTGAGAGGCCACATTCAGATCAACATTCATGATCTTATTGAATCCTCATGCTAAAGGGACTGAATGGCCTACTCTTGCTCCTAATTCCTACATTTGTTTATATTCACATTATTGCTTCAGTCAGAACACTGGGGATTTATGGAGTAAACATTTTAAAGCAACAAAACTCTACTTGCTCAGAAAATTGTTGAATTAAACAGTGTAGCAATATACAGAATTTTTAAAAAAATATCTATGAACTACAGCAAAAGGACGCAAGACTGAAAATAGAGAAAAGTCTCTCTATGTTTTTTTTTCTCCAGCCACATGGAGTGAGTAGAAGATAATGGCTGACAAATTATGTACAGAATCAATCCCAGGCCCTTACATCAGTGCAGTGAAAGCTCAACAACCTGAAATGATAACTCTGTTTGTCTCCACGAATGCTCCCTGACCTGCTGGGCTTTCCAGCATCTGCAATATTTTAATTTAATATTATAATAATTGTGTTTGTATTCCAACCTGGATTATAAAGCAGAGGTACTATCATAAATGTACAAAATAAAACTTATCTTACTACAATATGTCATACAAAGCTAGTAGAAGCACCTTTACTCAGAAGGTCTAGTATTTGGTAAAGTGTTCCCTGATGCTCCTTCAGAAAACTGAAGCTAACTTTCTCTTATAATCTAATAATGTTGGATAATGTTATCAGAAGATGGGTTTATATTACACCTACAGTGGTATTTTCACCGTGTATTTTCCCCACATGTATTTAGAAAAATGAAATGACTTTCCAGTTCTTTTACATCCATTGTAGCAACCTGGGTTGGTGGTGCATATATAAATGGCACTGCTGAAATGGTGTATCGGCCAGATGCTGGACTGGCATGGACTGTATCACCTTGGACCTCTCTACTTTGTTTGGTTATTGGTGAGTAATCAGAACATAGGCAAGTGACAATCACAATCACCTCACATTAACAGACAATTAGCACATTGCAAAAATTGTATCCACAATGTGAGAAGGGCACAATGTACAGGTTCAAACTATCTGTTAAATTGGATGGTTCTTCAGAAGTACCCAATCCCAGAACGTTATTTCTCACACAACACAATATTAACAGGAGACACATCAACCAGCAATGTTTGATTCAGGTTAGATTGTCCAAATGTGACAGATCATATTTTCAAACTTGCCACCTGTGGGTGGGTGGGATTGTCTTCGTAGGGTTTGGGCGAGCAAGGAAATGGGTGCACACCTGTGACTTATGCTTTAAGGATATTTGATGCTAACAGAATCTATTGGCTTGGCCCAGTAATTAGCTAACTATAGCTTCAAATCTACATATGGGACTTTCAAACCTTTCCAAAAACTTTCATAACTTGTGTACTCTTCCCACTCCAACCCCGCACTTTCCTTCAAATGTTGCCATTATTTTACATTTCACTTGCACACTCATTTCCTCTCCAGCCACTTTCCCACTTTTCTTGGAGCTATGAATAAAGAAGCCAGCCCAGGGCTCTGAACACTATATCAGGTTTGATACATAAAAGTTTAGAAAAAAATGAGAGGAGTAGGCCCTTCGGCCCTTTGATCCTGCTCCACCATATGATCATGGTTCATCATCAAACTTGGTCCCGTGATTCCATGTTTTCTTCCTATACCCTTTGATCTATTTAGCCCCAAGAACTGACTCTTTCTTGAAAACATTCAATACTTTGGCCTGAACTACCTTCTGGGGCGCCATTAAATAATGAGATAAATTTCCGGTACTTTTGCATCCATTTGCAGCAGTTTACTTTCTGAAGTCAAAGTAAACACTTACAAAAGCAGCAGACTTTCAGATTTCTGAACACTGATTACACAGTGAGTGTACTTGTGGCGTGATTACCATTTATCACCGTTACAGAGGAAATTCTTTCACAGCTTAAATATTCTTAAACATTTTGTTCTTACTCATTTGCAGTCCTATGTGATATTTATTACATTCTAACATTTCAACTTAAAATGCAGCTTTTGTGGCGCAGGAGTTGTGGAATCTATTCATATTTAAAGAAATGAAAGCCTACAGCGTGTAAATAGATCTCAGCTATGAAGATTAAACATAGACAAAGACATCACCTATATGGGTATCTAAAAGTCTTTCTTCTGCTTCCACACAGGCGGCTTGTGTTTTGCCAAGAAAATGCGAGCTGAGAAGTATGTAACAATGTTGGACCCATTTCAGCTGCGTTACGGGAAACGAATCGCAAGCTTGGTGTTTATTCCAGCCATAATCGGTGAAATATTCTGGTCTGCTGCCATCCTTGCAGCTTTAGGTAATGATATAGATTTTTTTTTCAGTCTATTCGGCCCACTCAGCTCTTGCTGTCATCGACATACTACACCTCAACACAAAGGTTGAATTTTTTTAGTCTCACAAGATATATCATGGACAGATGTGGAAATTACCCCCCCAAGTTTTGACCTCCAGAAGAGAGACTGCTGTGTAGCCTCTGATTTGAGCACAGCGTAGAATATTATTAGCCAGATACATGTAACGTATTTCTGTACTTACCCAGAAGATGTTAGACAGTTTAGTACTTTGTCTAGCGGTCGGGTATCTCTAACAACAGCCTATCCCCAATCACCAACCTCCAACCCCTTTGCCCAACCACCCAAATAAAGCCCCATCCCAACCATATCCCCACCTTGACTGCTCCCTGATCACCTGACTACCCCTTCAACCAGACCCAATTCAGCTATCCCAAGACCACCTAATTACCCAATTACCATCTGAACCGACCTGACTAGGCCCAAAATCCGAACTACTGGCCAACTGCCTGATTTACACCCCAGACAGACCTGGTTAACCCTGTCCATAATTTGACTTGACTCCACTCATCCACCAACTCACTTCATCCACTAACCCACCTCACCCACTAACCCACCTCACCCATTAACCCACCTCACCCAGTTAATCACCTCACCCACTAACCGACCTCACCCACTGACCCACCTCACCCAGTTAATCACTTCACCCATTAACCCACCTCACTCACTAACCCACCTCACCCACTAACCCATCTCACCCACTAACCCACCTCACCCACTAACTCACCTCACCCATTAACCCACCTCACCCATTAACCCCTCTCACCCAGTTACCCATCTCACCAACTAACGCACCTCACCCACCAACCCACCTCAACCTACAACCCACCTCACCCAGTTACCTGCTCACCCATTGATCCACTCACCCACCTTCACACGCACCAACCTACCCTTGTATTTATTTACCACTCGATCAGCCTGTCTCATTCAGTAAAAGACCGAACCTCTAAAAACCTAGTAGAATACAGTGGCTAGCACCATAAAAGTGGTGTGTTCTCTCTGTTGCTGACTTTATTCTGGTCTCTTATCATGGAGACAGGAGATTCTGTGCTGCTAATTTCTCTATTTGCTGGGATTGAAAGATCCCAGAATAAATGGGCTGGTACACCCAGTCAGGGAAACCTTTACAAATAGCTCAGTCTCGCTGATGATTTTCTCTTGTTCAAATTTGACCTCTAACACCATGTTGTTTGATATATCCGTTTAGATGTTTGCAATGTGCAGCCTATTGACTATATTAAAACAAAATGTAATGCCTAACATTAAATGTGGTTCCATGATTGCATAGGAGGTACTAAACAATCCCAAGCTTGCCAAGAAGGCTTTAATAGTATTTTTATGGCTCGTCAATGTTAAACACCCAGAATGAGGAATTGAGTCATAATATTTCAATTGAATGTCGATAGATGATGATTGGATTCTCTCTTGTTAGAGATGGTCTTTGTCTGGCAATTGTGTGGTAATCCTGGCATTCTGTGAACATGACCTCTTTCCTGTTCTTTTTGATGGTAATGGATTATAATGACTGAGTCCACCCTTCTTCTTTTGCGACTAACCTTTCAAGCAAGTTTGAGATGTCCCTCACCCTGACATGATGTAGGCAATATACCATGAGGGACTCCTGATCCACTTTAGAAAGGGTGCTATCCCTTGGGGAGACAATGGTTTAGTGGCGATGTCACTGGTCTAGTAATCCAGAGCCCCATGCCCTGGTACATGGGTTTGAATCCCATAAGGCAGCTGGTGAACGTGCAAGTCTAGTGATCATGTAACCCCTTCGATTGTTGTAAAAGCTCTTCTGGTTCATTACTACCCTTACAGGAGGGAAATTTACCACTTATTTGGTCTGGCCTACATGTGTCTCTTAACTCACAGTGACGTGGTTAACTTTTAACTGTCCTTTGGACAATTAGGAATGGGCAATAAATGCAAACCTGGCCAGCAACACTCAAATCCATCCTTCAGTCATTGAATCCCCCAAAACTGGCACATTATACTTCCTCTCCTTGTGCTTTTGGGCAGAGCCCTGCTCCGAGGTATCATGGTGAGTCGTCAAGCTGTCCATCCAATAGCCTGCATCCTTATCCTCATAGGTAGAAAAAACATTGTACCTCTCAGTTTCAGATCCATTTCCGCAGATCCTTGTTCTCTACCTTGCCTGATTTACAAGATCTGGTGACTCTTCATTAGACTTTTCATCATCAAGTCACTGGACTTGAAACATTGAATCTGCTTTCTTCCCACAGATGTTGCCAGACCTGCCAAGATTCTCCAGCAATTTCTGCATGTGTTCACAATGGTGAACCAGTCCATGGTTCTATTTCCTTGTTAGGCAGTTGAACCACAATGTTGTTCACTAAAATGACTTCTATTTCCACATGTTAATGAACTCATATTCCAGAAGAGTCCTAATTATATAAGGTTGCATGCAAAGCCAACATGGTTTAGAAAGGTGGCTGTTTGTTTAAAGTACCTGCCAGCCCTCACACTAGGCCTTGTCTGAGCAAGGTTCCTTCTACAGCTGTTCTCACCAAAGGACAATTATTTCACTGAGGCATTTCCTGAGAAATGAATCAATGAGCAGTTTTGCATAAAAACGAAACATGCAGCACTTGTTATTTCTAGAGCTATTTCAGGCTGAAATGTATATAATACAAATTTCTGACACTCTATCCACAACCTCGATACTAGTGATCACACTTCAGTTCAACTACACCTCACTGGCACTCTCAGTGTAGGTCAAAGTCCATTGTCAGCCTCGATCATGGGGGTCTCTCATTACACTGACACAGGAATGTTTACAGTCAGGAGGAGATTCCAACACCTTTTGCTGGAATGTGTCCATGGAACTGTGGGAGCATCTCATATCTGAGCAGACAGTGGTCTTTTGGAGCTTCGATTTTTTGTTTAATGTAAACCTTTTCTTTCTATTAATGTATCAGTGGTTAAGACTAAATACAAATTTTGCCTTTTTTGCTCAGGTACAACATCTAGTGTTATTCTGGACCTTGATAAGAAGCTATCAGTGGTCATTTCTGCTTGTGTAGCAATGATTTATACATTACTCGGAGGGCTATATTCAGTGGCATATACTGATGTTGTTCAATTAGGATGCATTTTCCTTGGCTTGGTGAGTTGCGAAGTCTACTACATACTGTGATAGTTTTTGCATAAAAGATACATGTGAATATTAGACCCATGTTTTAAAATGATAATGCAAGACTTTTAGGTCATGTTTGTGATTTTTTTAAGCCCTGATTATGCTTATTGCTGACTGAGTAAATTTCCCTTTTCAACTGTGCCTTTCATTTATTGTAAGATCATTCTTTCAGGTTATTTCATACTGCACAAAAACCTCAGAATAATAGGCTTCTTTGAAATCTGATTGTTGTATAGAGATCAATTTGATAATTTGCTCAGCTTACTCAGACAACAGACTCTCGCCTGAAAAGATGAGGGCCTGGAATTTTATCAGCAAATCAGGCAGTGGGTGGTAGGAAGCTTCCTGGCTTGGTTTGTCGTCCGGACGAAAAAGTGTGTGAAAAGGTAGGACCTTCATTGTGTTGTGGATTGTAGTCAGGCCCAGCCAACATGGAAAAGAGATTTGCAGCAGCCAAAGGGCTCATCTTGGTGCTGTAGGAATTGCAAGCTGTGAAAGCAGAAGCAGGTCTCAAGACCTCAACCCTCACACTCTCCTCATTACCATCTCATGCCTCCAAACCAGACTTTGTCCCTTCATTCATGCCATTATGACTTGGAAATATATCACAATTCTTTCAATGTTGCCGCATCAAAACGAAAGAATTCCTACAGTGTGGAAGTAGGCCATTCAGCCCATCAAGTTCACACCAACCCTCTGAAAAGTATTCCATCCAGACCCTTCCCATCTCTGTAAACCTGCATTTCCCATGGCTAATCCACTTAACACGCACATCCCTGGACACGACAGGCAACTTAACACATAGCCAATCCACCTAACGTGCACATCTTTGGACTGTGAGAGGAAACCCATGCAGACACAGGGGGAACGTGCAAACTCTCCGCAGACAGTCACCGGAGGCTGGAAATGAACCTGGGTCACTGGGTCTGTAGGGCAGCAATGCTAACCACTGAGCCGTCCCTGGGCCTCCCTCCTTCATGTAATTTTGGATGTACCTACACCAAATGGATTGCAGTGGTTCATGGAAGCAGGTCACCACTGCTTTTTCAAGGGCAAGTAGGGATGGCCAATGAATGCTTGCCCATCCAGCATCGCCCACATCCCATGTGTGAATCAAAAAAATCATTGTATAGAATCAGCAAATCCTATAGTGGCAATAGACATTTAAAAGAAAAGCTCTAAAGAACAATAATTCATTTATTATTTCTCACAATGTTAAAAATACTGATTTTTGACTTGGGCTCAATACGTGTCAATCATCTAGACCTTTTAATATATGTATAACAGAAACCACATGTACTTGAAACTCTTAATCTTTGGTAAATAAACGCTGTGGAGTAGAGGGCAGAGATCGGACATCTGCTAATCAAATAGAGTTCAGGTGTTACAACAGAGTAAAGTATTTCTGATTTTTTAGTCAAAAATCCACAATGACGCTTGGCTGGAGCACAGAAATCCATTACTCTATTAAAACAGCCGTGCCATTGCCTGATTTACAGCTTTAGATTTCTGATCTCTGCTGTCAGTTTCACATGCTCAGGGTAGACAAGATTAAGAGGTTTCAAGCACTTGTAATTTCTGCTACAGACGCATTAAAGGATCTGGATGATTGATGAATGCATTAGCTTCTCGAAAAGAGGAGTCAATTTTAACAAAATGCAAAGTAAAGAAATAATAACTGTTTAAAGGTTTATTTGCACGTCCTGTTGTAACTATTGAGTTCATGGGTTCTATACAATATGAAGAGGATCAATGGGCCTGGAAGTGCCATAGTAAGGCATGAGGAATGATGGTTGAAGTGACAGGACTCTAATGCGTAAATCATTAATTCTTGAAAAGCTGCCGTGACACCATGAAAATCATAGAAGGCTCGGACCTGCCTATCTCCACAGTGGAGCAGAAAGTCAGGAGTGCAGAGTGTAGGCTCATGACCCAAACTACTCTTAAAAGGCATCCTGTAAATTAGGAAATGCAGGAATCTTGGAACTGGAACCTACCCACCACTTTTAAAGGGCTCACAAGTCATCCCATTACAACGAAAATTCAGGACCAAGTCTTTGGATTCAAGTCCCAACTGCAGTGCAAAATTGAGGGATTGCCACATAATCAGAGGTATCATGTTTCAAATGGACAATCTACAAGTTGCCAATTCATGAACTGAAGATCTCAATACATTAACTATAGAATTGCCTGCTCAACCAATGCTTCCAAGATTTTACCTTCACTTTTTACACTTCATAAAGAGCTAGTGGTCAAACACCTATATGAGAATCAATTAGTGTTTTTTTTTGTTAGAAATTATAATGTTGCACATTAACACTGTAATAGGTTTTGGAATGGAAAACACTGCATGCTAAAAATCTGACATTAAAATCATTGCAGAAATGGGCATCATCTAAAAAGCAGGTACACAGATTAACATTTTGGGTTAAAATTTTCTATCAGCATTGCATAGTCACTCATGAATGATTCAAGAGATATAACTAATTGTGCAGAATGTTTCAAAACCACGGACCTGAAATGTTAATTCTATTTCTTTCATCAGATGCTGTCAGACCTGCTGCATATTTCCAGCATTTTCTGTTTTTTTTAAATTTCAGATATCTAGCATTCAGTGTATTTTATAGCTTTTGTAGCAAAATATTTATCTGATAAGTTAAATAAGTTAACAGATTTCCCAGCCTTAGCAGCTATTAAACAAACCACTTCTAAGTGTATTCACTGTGTGAACAATGAGTGGATAATTGCAATACTTTGCCTTTTAGTGGCTCTGTGTGCCATTCGCAATGCTAAATCACGCTGTTACTGACATCAAGATCACAGCAGTTAAGGAGGTCCATCAAAAACCTTGGCTTGGAAACATTGATGACAGGTTTATTGGAAAATGGATAGATGATCTTTTGCTAATGGTATGATATAGAACTTTTCTTCTTCGTGGCAAAATATTTTACCTGGTGTAAATTTATGATTTTCTGATTAATCATAAAATGGATGGTTAACCGGTACATGTTTAGATGAAGACTGAGAAGTTTTCAAGGAAGAAAGGTAGTTTCTTATCCCATCATTTAATGTTATATATTTTTCTTTTTGTAGCTGAGATGTAGATTAAAGAGTTACTAGACTTATACCACAGAAAGCTTAGTTTTTTTAATTTGCTCGTGGGATGTGGGCGTCGCTGGCTGGCCAGCATTTATTGCCTGTTCCTAGTTCCCATGAGAAGGTGGTGGTGAGCTGCTTTCTTAAACAGCTACAGTCCATATGCTGTAGTTGGACCCACAATGTCCTCAGGGAGGGAATTCCAGGATATTGACCGAGCGACAGTGAAGGAATGGTGATATATTTCCGAGCAGACTGGTGAATGGTTTGGAGGGTAAAATAACTCCACAGAGGCTGGTATCCTGTCTCCCTTTGTTTACATGTGCAGCATCCTTGACATTGATCCAGCTGCCTCAGAGCCAGCTCTAAGAGTGAACAGGACTCACACTCCAGCCAGGGCTCCCTGATTAGACCAGATTAACAGCCCCAATCAGGGAACTGATATTCTATGAGGTCCACCTGGCTGATCTTGTTACAGAGGGGAACTGGCAGGTGGTGGTATTCCTATGTATCTGCTGCCCTTGTCCTTCTAGATGGAAGTGGTTGTGAGTTTAAAAAGGGAAACCATGCTTGATGGATCTACTGGAATTCTTTGAGGTTGTAACTGGTAGAATTGATCAGGGTGCTAGTGGAATGTGATTCATTTGGACTTTCAGAAGGCTTTCGACAAAGTCTCACTAAAGAGATTAATGAGTAAAATTAAAACACATGAGATTGGGGGTGGATATTAAGATGGATAGAAATTTGGTTAGCAGGCAGGAAACAAACAGTAGAAATAAATGTGTCTTTTTTTCTGAATGGCAGGCAGTGACTAGCGGGGTACCACAGCATTTGGTACTAGGACCCAAGTTATTCACAAGATTTGTTAATGATTTAGTTTAGAGAACTAAATGTAATACCTCAAAATTTGCAGATGACACAAAGCTGGGTACAAGGTACCTGTGAGGAGGATGCAGAGATGTTGCATTGTAATTTGGACAGGGGAGTGAGTGAACAATTGCATGGTAAATGCAGTATAGTGTGGATAAATGTGAGGTTATCCACTTTGGTAGCTAAAATAGGAAGACACATTATTATTTGAATGGCTGTAAATTAAGGGAGGGGAATATTCGCTGAGACCTGGGCATTTTTGTGCACCAGTCACTGAAAGTAAGCACATAGGTGCAACAGGCTGTAAAGAAAACAAAAATGAATGTTAGCCTTAACAGCGAAAGGACAATGGGGCATTGGTGAGGCCACTCCTGGAATACTATACGCAGTTTTGATCTCCTAATTTGAGGAAGGATGTTCTTGTTATACAGGAAGTGCTGTGAAGGTTTACAAAATTGATTTCTGGGATGGCAGGCCTGTTGTATGAGGACAGATTGAGTCTGTTAGGATTGTATTCACTAAAGTTTTGAAGAATGACGCAGGATCTCATGGAAACCTACAAAATTCTAACAGGACTGGACAGTTTAGATGCAGGAAGAACATTCCCGATGGTAGTGAGAGTCCAGAACCAGGGGTCACAGTTTAAGGAAAAGGAGTAAATCTTTTAAGACTGAAAGGAGGAGAAATTTCTGTGGAATTCACTACCACAGATAGTGGTTGAGGCCAAAACATGTGTTTTCAAGAAGAGGTAGATTTTGCTCTTGTGGCTAAGAGAACCAAGAGATATTGGGGGAGGGTGGGATTAGGTAATTGAGCTCATTTTGAAGAATGGAGCAGGCCAAAGGGGTCGAACAGCCTATTCCTGCTCCTATCTTCAATGTTCCGATGTTTGGAAGGCTTCTTTGGGAATAAACTACTACAAAAATACATAAACTGATAGGGAATGAGAGTTCTATTAAAAATGGAATTCTAAATACCTAGTTTGCACTATTATGTCCATCCAAACTGTTGCTAAATTGCTAAAAATAAATTAGGAAGTACTTTGGAAAAATAGTGAAATATGTTATTAAGCAATTATGATGCATATGTATTTAATTTTTAGATGGTATACAAAGAAATACATATTCTAAAAGGGGAAATTGGAAATGTTGGTCTTAGCTTTCAGACAGTCAGGCCTAATGTCATCAGAATATGTTTTTACAAATAGGTACAATATAGCTCCAGTTTTTGTCCATACTGTCAAATGTTACAGTTATCATCGATCCTTAACGTTATTCTGAGTTTGCACTCATAATTAATTAAATCTACTGGAATTGAAATGTAGGAACAGAAACAGGTCAATTATCACTTTCAGAGATAGTAAGAACTGCAGATGCTGGAGTCAGATATAAGACAGTGTGGAGCTGGAGGAACACAGATGGCCTGGTAGCAGCAGAGGAGCAGGACGTTGACGTTTCCGGTCGGGACCCTTCTTCAGAAATGGGGGAGGGGGAAGGGACCTGGGAAATAAATAGAGAAAGGAGGGTTAAGGCTGGGGAAGGTAGGTGGGATGGTAGGCAGTGTTGGGGATTGGTCAGTGAGGTAGGAGTGGCAGATAGGTGGGAGAGAAGATGGACAGGTTGTGTCAGGTCAAGGAGGTGGGGATGAGAGGGAGTGTTGGTCATGGGATGAGGCCGGGGATAGGAAGATTTTGAAACTGGTAAAACCCACATTTAGGCCATTGGGCTGTAGGCTCCCAAGGCGGAATATGAGGTGCTGCTCCTCCAGTTTCTGGGTGGCCTCCTCCAGTGTCACAATGACTCCACCCAGAAACTGGAGGAGCAGCACCTCATATTCCACCTCAGAAGCCTACGGCCTAATTGCCTAAACGCGGATTCTACCAGTTTCAAAATCTCCCCACCCCCTGCCTCATCCCATGACCAATCCTCCCTCTCATCCCTGCCTCTTTGACCTGGCACAAATTATCACTATAAAATCTCCCTCTTAGTTCAAGGAGGATCTCAATGTCTTAGCAAGGCATTCAGTTCAAGGGCAATTAGGGATAGGCAACAAATATTGGATTGTCAGTGAGCCTGATATCTGAAGCAAGGTTAAGAGTCACCTTTGATACCAATGTGTGAAAATGAACTTCACACAGAGGAAGGACAGTTGCAGGATTATTTTCTACCATTTTGGATGTGATGACCTGGCGGGGTTAATGCTTGACTGTTAATCCAGAGACTCAGGGTTTGAATCCTGCCATGACAGGTAATGGCATTTGAATTCAATTTTTTTTAAAATCTGGAATTAAAAGCCTCATACTAACAATGAAACCATTGTCAGGGGAAAAGAAATGTCTGGTCCAGTAATGCCCTTTAGTGAAGACAACTGCTGATATACCTGATTTGACCTACATGTGACTCCTGATCCACAGCAATGTGGTTGACTCTTAACTGCCTTCTGGGCAATAAATGCTGGCCCAGCCAAAGATGCCTCATCATAGAATCCCTACAGTGTGGAAGCAGGCCATTCAGCTCATTGAATCCACACCAAACCTCCGAAGAACATCTCACCCAGACCCACCCTCTACCCTGTCCCTGTAATCCTGCATTTCCCATGGCTAACCCACCTAACCTACACATCCTGGACAATATGGGGCAATTTAGCATGGCCAATCCACCTATCCTGCACATCTCTGAAATGTGGGAGGAAACCAGAGCACCCAGACGAAACCCACACAGACACAGGGCAAATGTGCAAATTCTACATAGACAGTCACTCGAAGGTGGAATTGAATCCAGGTCGCTGACGCTATGAGGCAGTAATGGTTACCACTGAGCCAGCCTGCCCCATTCCTGTGGATGATATTTTTGAAAAATTTAGAACAAGGCTATTGACCCAATATCCCCAATATCAAATTGATGTTCCATTTGCCCAGTCTGTGTAATTTATGAGGTAATATTCCTGAGCAGGTGCTTTTCTACAAATATTTCTCTCATTCTGCAGTACATTAGTGTCATGATTGGAATGAAGGCCAGGTGGATCTTATTGACCATGAGATCCTTGTTTGGGTTTTCCAATCAGGAGATAAACAGTTATAAACAGGAGATTGAGAGAGTCTCATCATTCTAGGCACTAGCTCTAAGCTGGTTGATAAGAGCCCATGTACTGTGCACGTATAAATAAAGGGTGACTCGGTGACAGCATACCAGCCTCTGTGCTGTTACTTCAATTAGGATCTAAAATACACTATAGTGTCATATTGGATGATAATGAAGCTTTTAGTATTAATACAAAAAATGGTTTCACAGTTTGATGGCATCTCAACTTTCATTTGTAGGTGTTGGGAGGAATACCATGGCAAGCCTATTTTCAAAGAGTGCTGGCATCTTCCTCCATTAAAAATGCTCAGAAATTATCAATCGCAGGAGCATTTGGTGGTTGTATAATGGGCATCCCTTCAGTCCTAATTGGCTCAGTTGCAGCTTCCACAGGTACTGTACCGCATCAGCATGTACAATGCCTGGTAGACTGATGAATCAGCCACCAGCAATGGCCAGTTTATGTACATGTATCTGTGTCTGTGCCTCACCTGGATTTTCACCAAGCCAGGATGATTTAGGAGCCTTTTCAAAATGGCAGGCATGACCTGATTCTGGGATTCCTGCCCCCATTTCTGTTCCCAACAATTTTTGCTTACACACAGCAAGGATATAAACAGTGAATCCGCATGCAACACATGGTAGGTTTACCATTACATTCACTAACAGCACATACATGTTGTGATCAATTAGAGTCATTTTCCCATTGCGTAAAATCTGCTTATGCATTCAAAATGGAAGAAAACAGTTTCTTAAAATATTGCCTATTTGGGAAGATTTATTTTTCTCTGGAATGACTTTTCTTAGACTAAACTGGCTTTTATTTTTAAAAACGGAAAACCATTGACTTAAAGTGCATGGTCACATAACCAGGTTGAGTCAAGATGATGAGAGATAGGCAAGGAAAGTCTGAACTGAAACTAATATTTTATCAAAGAATGCTGAAACTCAATTGGGGTCAAGAAACCCTGTTTCCTATTTTCGATTGACATCTTTCTGTAAGTTACCTACAGATTTTCCAGCTTGGAAAAAAACAATAATGCCAGACATAGAGTGAACTTTATTTGAGGAAACCGGTTATTGGGCAGATGAAAAAGAACTTGAATTGACAACAGCAAGGACTGAAAGACTCTTTCTCTCCCTGTTTCCTTTTCAACATCATGAAAACCAGCACCAGTGATAGAACAAATCAAAGAGAACTAAAGATTCTATAAAGTTTTATACGGCTGAGGATACAAGGTGTTAGTTAAACAGGCATAGTCCCAGGTTCAACTTCATCAACTCAAGGACACTTGCAACAATACTATGGCTTTAAGAGTTGATTTTTTCACGAAGAAGGGTTGAGACAAAGGTCCTAAAGTGGTCTGCTCAAAGCCAATAAAGTAAACAGCTTATGAGGCCTTGGGGTATGTTTTAAGTTGGAAAAATAGAAGCAGCCTGAATGGTTGGGGTCAATGTCCCACAGAACCGGGATTTTTAGTTTTAGCTTTCTGCAGTTGCTGGGGTCTTGAAGCTGGATGTAGAGGGTCTTATTCCTTTCTGTAATACAGCTAAAAGCTGGGGTTCTCTTCCTGCTGCTAGAATTGCATGTGAGACAATCTATTTTACTGAATTTGCCTTTGCCAAGGGTGAGTTTATGGGATGTTACTGTACTGCAACATGTAATTAGTAGTAGTTCATATATCTATTATTTTGTTCAGCATTTTGATAAAGTTACAATTAAGCCAATTCTTGTATTTTATTTTGTCTACATTTTAACTGTAGTGTAAAAATTGAATTTCGCTTAACATCGAGTAGTTTGATCAATTGAATTATATCTGGAATGCAAAGCCTTAAACTTACCTTTAAAATAAGAAAAAGTTGGGATCTAGACTATCTTCTTATTATATTTTGAGTGGGTTTGGTCTGGTCCATAATATTCTCTGAGAACTTTTTACTGGACTGCATTTTTTTTTGTATTGTCACCTTCCCCTTATTAAACTTTATATTTGTGACTGTGTTGATGGGTGTTTTTCTTGGGGTGAGTAAATAATAAAATTCCTTTTTCTTTCAGTCAAGAAAATCTTGAAATTGGCTCCTTAAATTTGACTAGTGCTACATTTTAATTGAAGTGTGATATAGTTAGGCACTAAAAACAATTATAAAAATTTGTTACAACCGACCAGTGGAGGTTAAAAAGTGGGGAGCTGATTCACCTGTCATCACATGCTGGTGCAATGCATTTCTGTATCTGTATGTGTCTGTGATTGTTTATAGATACCTGTGTCTTTGTGTTTGTGTGTGCCTACGGAGCAAAATAACTTGTAGCCAAGCGGCTGTTTGACACCAAGAAATTATCTATAAAAGAAAACTCAAACATCTATTTATACTTATAAATTAATCGATAGTCTTTTGATTTTGACTGTTGATGTCTGATACAGGTCCCTTTTTATTCTCAGACTGGAATCAGACTTCTTACGGCTCCCAGTCACCTTATGAGAAAAATGAAGCTGCCATGATTCTACCAATAGTTCTTCGATATCTGTGTCCTCCCTATATTTCCATATTTGGAATTGGTGCCATTGCAGCTGCGGTCATGTCCTCAACTGACTCTTCTCTTCTTTCATCAAGTTCCATGTTCACACATAATATCTACCGAAAGATTCTCAGGCCAAAGGTAACTTTACTGCATTTGTATACATAAGTGCAATAGCCATGAATGTGATCAAAGTCGATGAACAATAAACTATCACATTATAAAAGACCTAAATGCACTGCAGCACAAGGATCACTTTGAAATTTGTATGATTCCCTGGTTTAGGTTTTGATCTGTATGTCTTGGATGAAGTGCAGGGATCACAGAGGGTTTACGCAAATCTCTTCATAATTGACAGAGAGAAAATGGCACTAGATCTGCTTTCAGTGGAAATCAGCTCCATTTATCTTCCAATCTGCCAATTCACATTTTGTTGATGCAAGCAAAAATCTATAATCTGTAATTCTGAGCAGTTATGCTGTACTTCCCAAAATAAAAACAGGATAGCAAGGAAATGTACAGCCATATTGCTTTTTATTACCAATTTGCTTTCTTCACAATTGCTGTACTTTGTGTAACTGGTTTAAGGGTATTTTCTCTAAAGTTCCAATGTTCCTGAGTTGTTTCCTATTTATGTTACAATCAGGCAATGATGACTAATGCAATCTCATTGTTGCATCGCATGTTTTTCACACGTATTTCCCATACTGAGGGAGTGTCTGGGAGCACATGAATGAGAGGAGCTCATGCAAATGATGAAGTTGTCTCTCAGGGCTGCAATACATCCCACTGTCCTGCTCAGTTGACTGCAGATAAGCCCTTATGTAGGCAATAACTGCACCAATATCTGTGGTGCCTGTAGTCACAGCGCCACTTTCTAATCCAGCACAAGGTGATACATGATCATGCTCGCTCCTGAAGGTAGCACAAAAATATATCCACCTGCCTTTTACTTTTCACTGGGGAAATCACTTAGGACCAGGGTAACTCTGCACAGTAAGGGATCATTCCTTATTTTGACTATTTGCCTTGCTTCTTTTAGGGGACAACTTTTATCCCTTACTTCTAGACAATGCTATGGAAGGTTAAACCTTGAAGTCCTGCCTTTAACCTTTATTTATGAGCAAGAACACTATGGCCACCTGGGGTGGTTTGAGTGATTGGCGCAGAACTGCAAGTCTGCGTGTCAGCAATCAGAGAGAGCTTCGCTTGCCTGAAATCCCAATTCCACAATTACACTTATAGTCATCGGAAAACCTCATCCACTAACCCCTAAAGTCACCAGCTCTCTCGCATCCCCCCCTGCCGTCTGATCATCAGCACCCACTTGACCCCACAACCTCATCCTAAAATCCAAGTGTCCCTTATTTTAGTTCATAAGAGCTGGTCATTTGTTATAGTCTGGAGAATAGAGGGTGCAAATGATCTGAAAAGATTCCCCAGTGGAGCTGGGGGAACTTAGCTGCATGGATCCCCAGCTCCAAGAGGACACCTAATTCTAAAATATGCCCCCACCCCAAGGGTGGTAATTTTGATTTTGAGAGCTGCTGGCCAATCAGAGATCAGCAGCTCTCCATTACTGGCATCACCACCAGGAGTGGTGGCTACTGCAGGCAATGCACTTGGGCAACAACAAGAAATACCATCAATACGTCGTTGTCATTCACAAGGCCCTACACTCGAAAGAATCCAACTAGGTAAAAATGCAGCATTTTTCATATTGTTTTTGCCAGTTTTTTTTTCGTAGGAAAGGAATATGGAAATAGTTGTAGGCCATTCAACCCCTAGAGTTTCTGCTGATTTTCTCTGAAATTCCATCCATTTGCCAATGGCTCCATTGTTTAATGTTAATACTTGGTAAAGTGATATCGAGTCAACTGTCACTATCATGATGCATCACTGCTGGAGGATAGAAATACCCAGAAACAAAAAACGCAACAGTTTAAAGCAGTCAATATCCTGGAAGGAGTCTCTGAGACTGGTGGCAAGACAATGAAAATTTTTCCCATAGCCTCCTTTGATAATAATAATCTCTGCATTTTTTTTTCTGTAACATTTCCAATGGAATGCAGGAGTTACATTGCTAGGACTTTTCTGAATTAGTTGTCAATTTGGCAATTATGTCATTCAGACAATGCTGGTTTTAAACAGATGCTGTCTGGAGCACAATTCAAGTTTGCTGCTCATATTATGATGTGATATACCATTAATAACTCTTTTGGAGTTCAACTCTTTCACAATAAGAAATGAACACAAGATGATCTCATCTCATGTCAACAGATTATATTTTATTGATTTGACTATCTATTGTGTTCAAGTTTAACCTTATTTCACCACATTTTGGAGCAAGTACATTTTTCATTGCTTTACTGTATTTGATTGGTGCAATGCCACAAAATAGAACTCTATTGCATAGAACAATTTCCAAATGATATGTTTGCAAAAAGGCCCTGGTTTAACTCACTCAGAGATGGTAAGAACTGCCGATGCTGGAACTGTGTTGTCCCTGGTTCAACTCTTGTTGGACTTCAAATCTGTTTTGCTAGTCTTTACATTTACCAATCAGGATTTGCCATCAAGATGATCTTAATGTATTCTCTAATGGTTTGAAAGTTCCATACCTAATGTATTTGCCTTTGGAATCATCTGTTAATTACAGAATTTGGCTTTGCACATTTCAACCCTCTTTCTTTTTCTATTTTCAGGCATCAGAGAAAGAAATTATGTTCGCAATGAAGACTACAGTCTTTTTAGTGACAGTACTTGCCACACTCCTTGCTCTTTTTACCAACACTATCTATGGTCTTTATGCATTAAGTGCTGACTTGGTGTACGTTATCCTTTTTCCACAGCTTGTTTGTGTTCTGTATGTTTCCTGTGTAAATAGACTGGGATTTGTCACTGGAGTCCTGACAGCGGCATTGCTTAGAATTGCTGGAGGTGAACCTCTTTTTCATTTTCCAGCTGCTATCCACTTTCCTGGAGGTTATTTCCAGGGCAGTGACTATATCCAGATTTTCCCTTATAAAACCTTTGCGATGCTCTCCTCTTTGATAGTGACTGTAACCTTGTCATATATCAGCAAACTCAAATGGCCAGAGGGGTATATAACTGTGTTTAATTTGACAGAAATATCACGTGGGACGAGAACCTCTTCTTAATCACATGGACTGACTGGAATCACATCATAGGAAACAATATATAACCCAATCACATTGGTAGGAAGGAGGTGGGATTTAGTTTTCCCATTAAGAGTGATCACTAACGTTCCTTCAGTGCCTGCCACTTATAAGATTGTTTCTGGATGAAAATAGTAATAAGTAACAAAATCAATGCTTTGCGACCTTTCCAATGACACTGCATAAGTTTTGAGCAATTTATATAGTGAAGCTTTGTGCCATTCAGGTATCTCATACCAAATAAAAAACAAAAGAACTTCCGTTCTGAGGAAGGGTCACCGGACCCGAAACATTAACTCTGTTTTCTTCTCCACAGATGCTGCCAGACCTGCTGAGATTTTCCAGCAACTTTGTTTTTGTTCCAGGTATCTCATACACTGTATCTACTCCAATTATCTCTCTAAACTTTATTGTTTGGATCCATTAGGATTGAACATTTGCACATTACTTTGCTGCCATCTTTGCAGTCATATTTGCTCATGAAGCTGAGGATATAGAATAGCCAGGGCAGAAATTATGTGTACAATGGTGTGGAAGAGGCTAATTCTGCAAACGTCAGTATGGCCCTAAAAGATTTCCTTTTTGAAGAAAGGCTGAAAATATCAAATCAGTTTTAAGGTAGATATGCATTTTACACATCTTCATGATAGGAAAAGATTCCAATGCATCATCTCCAAGGAGAGGAATCAGGAATTGTGATAGCTGTGGAGTTCTAAATAAGTTGGCTCTACATTGTCAGCATTTTGAATTCTGCAACTAGAGGTTGCGAATGACTGCAAACTCCCTTCCATCACAAAGTAGAACCTGAAACAATAGAATTCTTGACAGTAGAAACAGTAGAGACAGTAGAAACAGAATTTGCTGGATAAACACGGGATGTCTGGCAGCATTGGAGGAAGTGTCCAAAGAAGGGTCACGTTGGACTCAAAATATTAACTCTGTTTCTCTCTCCGCAGATGCTGCCAGACCTGCTGAGCCTCTCTAGCATTTTCTGTTTTTATTTCAGATTTCGAGTGTTGACAGGAATTTGATTTTTGTATCTTTGTTCTCTGCATTTATCAGTGACATGGGTAAAATTGCAGTTTCTCATTAAGTCCAAATCTTTGTGTTTAATCCTCACGTTAGAGTGCCATTTATATCGTAGAACAGACCCATCCCACGAACCCATGCTTTTTCACTGATTACACTCCATATACAGATAAATTGCTTACAGCTGAAACATTGCATTCTTGTCATTTTTATTCACAAAATTATGCCAGTCTTCCATTTCTTGATCCATTTATGAGCATTTTATGATGGTAATTTTCTTCCTGTAACTGTACCTGTCACATCACACCATGTGCTCAGCCAGTGCTGTGCCTGTCTGAGGAAATCGTTCCTTCATAGCTACTGGACTGACTTTGATGCGGGGAGGGATTACTGCCACAAACCACAATCTATTGCATGGAAATGAAGGATAAATTATCTGTTTGAATTGCTAACTGTTTCCCGATCTGTGCCCATTACCTAGGCAAAAAGGTTACAACTTCAGGATGTTGCTCTGAGTGGGGAAAGTGGCGCAATTGGACCTGCACTCACTTCTTTGTGAATGAAATACAACAGGGGATTAGGGTAACTTGAACCTTCCCTCTTTATTCTCCTGCTCCTATACCAAGTCGTCATTCAAGAAGCTGAAATTAGGAACAAAACCAGAAATTACTGGAAAAGCTCAGCAGGTCGGGCGGCATCTGTGGAGAGAAATCAGAGTTAACATTTCAGGTCCAGTAACCCTTCATCAGAAGTGCCAGACTGTCCGGCTGCCAGACCTGCTGGGCTTTTCCAGCAATTTCTGGTTTTGTTTCTATTTCCAGCATCTGTTCTTTCAGTTTTTATTTAGCGGACATTGGGATTATGTAACTGAGAATTGGAAGGTTGATGAAATCTCAAAATGAACCTAAGGTATGTTGCATGTAGCACAGGAGATATTCAGATGCTGGGCAACTGACTCACTTACGTAGGTACACTTTGACCCACTCTTGATCAGCACCAGGAAAATCTGCCCTAAAACTTTGCAAACACTGTTTTTAATTTTAGAAAATGAGAATATTAGAAGTGCTGTCTTCTCATTCATCTCTCTTATGTCTCAGAATTTCATGCAGCCATTATTCATATCTTGAAGTTACAAGCAGACATAAAAATAACTTTTTCATAAGTACCATGTTCAAATTATAATTTACACTTCTACGGTGAATTTTATTCAATTAGAAAAAGAAAATAGAATTCATTAGACTCCTGACCCATCCACTTGAAGTGATATGGCTTTGAGTTATAAAATCAAAAAAAAAGTTAATGCACATTTAGTGTGAAAGAGGATTTAAATGATTGGACAAACTTAGATGGTAATTTCTCAATTGTGTTACAGGCAGTGTGTGGAATTTTTATAAGGTTGGAGAGAAACCTCAGAAGCAAACTGTTGGTTTAGAAGATATTCATTGTAACAGTCAACATATCTAAGATAATGGATAATGACTTGACAGAAAGGTGTTAAGATTTTAATGATGAACTGTCTTTGAGGGAAGGAAAGATGTAAGCATTAGTAAAAGAATAATTTACAGAAATCTCTACAGATTTTGAAATCCTAGTATAATCTTAGTTATTTTGAAAAGTAATAAATTGTGAAGAACTAACATGTCTGTGTATTTCTATCTTTCTAGAATGTGCAAATGTTACATTGTTTAAACTTAAGTTTTCTGCAGGATGGTTTCCAATTTATTTTTAATTCACTCATGGGATGTGGATGTTGCTGGCTGAGCCTGCATTTATTAGCCATCGTGTGAGGGAAAACAAGGTCAATTAAGTTTAACATGTGATAGTCACCACCAAATAGTCAGACTGATTCATTTACATTTCTTTTGTTGAAATGATAGTCTTATTTACTGTTTATTGCAAGATTAGGAAGTTGGTCGTGCTTTACAGTTAAAGTACTGTTCAAATTATCCTCTATTGGATTACCAGCATAATACATATACTGTGCTTAGAAAATGTTCTTATGCGTAGCAAATATAGAAAAATCATGCGACAAAATTGATTTTAGGGGTGAGTGTAATTATGAGTACATCAGGAAAGGTCTTTTGGATACAAATAGGAAAATATGGGGTGGAGTAAAATTGAAGATGGTCATTGATAGAGGGGCTTTTCCTTTCTGGTGCAACATCAAATTTGACTCAGAGCACATTACTAGGTAGTGATCAGAGTGTGCATTGGAGAAAGGGATCAGGGAGCATGCAAAAGTTTAATTTAGAAAGAGCAATGAAAATCAAGAGAGAGGTACACAGTGGTTGCAGAAATTGCAGCTGATGTTGGGGAAGCAAACAGATGGTTGACTCTTATAGGCTGGAAATACCAACAACAACCTATATTTATATAGCATTTATTTCATAAAACAAAATATGACACCAAATCTGACCAAAGGCTTGATCAGAAAGGTTTGAGGAACATCTTAAAGAAGGAGGGAGAAATAGAGAAGCAGAGAAATGTACACGGGAATTCCAAAACTTAAGCCATGGGCAACTGAAGGCACAGCCACCCATTGTTGGAGAAATTCAAATTGGGGATATGTAAGTGGCCAGAATCTTGGAGGATTGTGTGCCTGGAGGGAATTATAGAGATATGGAGGGGAGATGCCATGCAGGGATTTGAAGATAAGGATGCAAATTTTAAAATATTACTTAATCCAAAGCCAATATAGGTCAGTGAGTGCTGGTAATAGGAACAGGATTTGCAACAAATTAAGACACAGGTTGAAGAAGATTGCATGGCCTTAGGTCAATGGAAGATAGAATATGGGAGACCATCCAGGAGTGCAGGTCTACAGATAACAAAGATGTGAATGAGGGTTTCGACAGCAGATGAACTGAGACAGCAGTAATATTGCAGAGGTTAAATGAGTGTGAATATACGGAAAAAAACACATCTTGGAGTCCAATATTAAACCAAAGTTGTGATTGTATTGCTTCAGTCTAAGACTGTTTCCAGGGAGGTGGTTGGAGTCAGAGGATAGGGAATAACGCTTGGAGTAGAGACTGAATGCAATGGCTTCAGTCTTCCTAATATTTAATCAGAGGAAACCTCTCGTCATCCGATACTTGATCTTTTTTCTTAATCCATCCCACAGTATGGTTACTATTAGGGGGTCTGTACTGCTCCTAAAAATGACTTCTTTTATTATCATTACTTTCATTTATCATTACTTATCATGACTCAAACTGCTTCTAAATTCTGGTTTCCCCTGAATTTGAATCATATCTGTCTAATGCACTAAAACAATGATTAATTAACAGGGCCATTCCTCACCTTTTCCCAGCTATTTGTTCTTTCTAAATGTCTAGTATCATTTAGTAATCAGGTCCCAATCTGTGTCATCTTACAACCCTGTCTATACTTTACAGCTATGAGATTGTACTTATTTACTTCAATTTGTGTCAATTTATCTGGGTTTTTTTTGTAACGAATGTTATATGCATTCTGGTAAAGTTGTTAGTTTTGTCCTCTTTATTTTCCTTTTAAACATGTGGTCTCAAATCCCTTCCTGTCATGATCAATTTGACATTTCCAACATCTCTTGCCTTGTCTCTACTCTGTGATTTCTCACATCTTCCCAAATTTGTCCCTCACCCCTATGTTTTAATTTGCAGTTCTCTCTGCTTCCCTAGTTGCATGCCTGACTATAATATCAGCTCCAACACGATTCAGGTGCAGACTATCTCAGTGACACAGAATCTACATTCCCCAAAATTACTATCAGTTCTCCGTGAACTGGAACCCACTTCTCAAACACCAATCTTTGATTCAGGCTTTCTTTTCTCAAATCTTATGTGTTCTCTGCCAAATTGGTGCCTTGGTCCTTATAATACCCTTGCAAGAAACTCTCCTTATCCTGCCCTAGATTGTTGGCACCTACATGGATTATAATAAATGAATCCTCACTCTCTCACTGCAACTTTGTCTGTAGCCCAGAGTAGATGTCCTAAACACTGGCAACACAGCCTTCTAGATTCTTGAACAACGTCAGTTGCTTCATTGTACTAAAATGAAGCAAAGAACTATGGATGATGGAAATCAGAAACAAAAACTGAAATTGCTGGAGAAACTCAGCAGGTTATTACTGACCCTTCATGACTTAACGTGAAATGTTATTGGTAAGGCCAGCATTTATTTCCCATCCCTAGCTGTCCTTGGGAGTGTTTATATCAACTGCCTTCTCAAACTGCTGAAGTCCATGTGTATAAGTACACCCCCAGCGCTGTTAGGGAGTTTCAGGATTTTGACCGAATGACAGTGAAGGAATGGTGAGAGTTCCCAGTCAGGATGGTTTGTGGTTTGTAGTTTGTAGGGGAACATAAAGGCAGTGGTGTTTCCCATTCATTTACTGTCCCTGTCCTTCTACATGATATAATCCCAAGTATGGAACGTGGTCTACAAGTAGCCTTAGTGCGTTGTTGCAATACATGTTGTAGATGATACACACTGCTGCTGCTGTATTGGTGCTGAAGGGAGTGGATGTTGAATGTGGTCAATGGGGTGTTAATCAATGGGCTGCTTTTTTTTTTGGATGGGTCAATCCACCTCTGACTAAATATTTGCAAATAGTGGACAGATTTCAAGGAGTGAAGAGGTGAATTGATCACTACAGACTTCCCAGTCTCTGGCATGTTCCTGTAGTCATAGCCTTTATCTGGATGGTCTAGTTTAGATTATGATTAATGACAATCTCTAGAACGTTGATAGGAAGGGATTCAGCAATAGTAACATCCTGAACACCAAAGAACAGGGATTAGATTGTTTTAAGTCAGAGATGGACATTGCCTTAAGTGGCAATAACATTTTTGCCACATATCACCCCAAGCCTGAATGTTGTCCAGGTTTTGTTGCATATGGACACAAGCTGCTTTAGTGCCTAAGGAATCACAAATGGTGCTGAACGTTGTGTAAACAACTGTACTTTTGATTTTACGATGGACGTAAGATTACTGATGAAGCAGCCGAAGGTAGTTAGGCTTAGCACATTACTCTGGGGAGGTCTATTTTGATGTAGTCCTTTCCCAATCACTCTGCCACCATACCCCCACCGCCACCACTACCACCACCACTACCACCGCCACCACCCACATCTACCCTGACTCCTCACATTGTTTATAATGGGCATTACATGTGAACTTCCAATTGGCTGCATGGGTAACTACTGGTAATGGTTAATTCAAAAATCTAAAATCAAAAAAAAAATCAAGTGATTTGGTGGTGGCAAAAATTGTTTGGTTTGTGTGATAATACTTACCCCGCAACTCCTGCAGTGCTACCCTGGGACCAAGATGACTGACCACCAAAAAAAAAAAGACATTTTCATTTGTATTAGGTATGACTCCAATCAGTGTACAGTCACCCCATTTCACACCCCACTTGCCAGATTCCCATTGACACCAGATTTAAAAGGGCTCCTTAATGCCATACTTAGTCAAATGCTTGATGTTAAAGGTGGTTACTCTCATCTCGCCTCTGGAGTTCAACTATTTTGTCCATGTTTGGACCAAGGCTGTAATGAGGTCAGGGCAGGGAGCCTGGCAAACCCAAAAACTGAGTGCCTGTTATTCTTTTGCTTGATAGGACATTCTACATCTTCTATCACTTTGTTGAGAGTAGACTAGTACAATAGTAACTGACTGGTTTGGATTTTTCCTGTTTTTGTCTGGGCATAGCTGGGAAATTTCATTATAGTTGTATGGAAAAGCTTGAGTAGGGATATGGCCAGTTCTGGAGCATAAGTCTTCAGTTCTATTGCTGGAAATGTTGTCAGGGGCCATGACCTTTGCAGCATTCAGTGCCTTCAGCTATTTCTTTCTATCATGTCAAGTGAACTGAACTGAACTGAATTGGCTGAAGCCTGGCAATGTGATGCTGGAGAAATTAAGAAGCAGTCAAGGTCCAAAATCAATTAGTTGCATTTTAACATGTAAAAAGAACTCTTTTGAGCCTCAAAATATGGTGATGCAAACTAAAGAATATCACATTAACACTGCAGTCTGCTTCTTAAACAATTAGACCATAAGAAATAGAAACAGGAGTAGGCCATTTGGCCCCTCAAGCCTGCTCCACCATTCAATAGGAATAAGGCTGATCTGACTTTCCAAATGTCCATTTTCCTGCCTTTTCCCAATAACCCTTGATTCTCCTCCTGATCAAGAATCCATTTCAACCTTAGATATACACAAGGACTCTGGAATTCCTTACCATAGAGAGCTGTGGGGCCAAAGAGATAACCTCTGGAAGGTGTTATTCAGTGGTAATAAATAATTCAATTTTAGTTTTGCTACAAAATGAGTTTAGCACGGCAATGCTACCAATGGTATTAAAATCATCCTTAGTTGTTGAGGGGCAGTTATATTTTAAC